GGCAGGTGGGGGTGTGTTTAGATATTCACAGATGATTGTTGTGATTGAGCATTTGCTGCAAAGTAAACCGTTACAGTCTTCCATCTGCTTTTCCTTGTGACTCCAGAACAAAAATGTACTTTTCATCACTTTCTCTGGCATGTTCCATTAAAACGATATTAACTCCAGAGACTGCAGCTGACGTGCAGAGCGTCTAGACGGACCTTTTTTTTCAGTATCAGTTCCAGGAGAAGATCTTTATCATCTGTTGCAGCTTTACCGTGGATTTCTGCATTTCACTCCAATTGTCTTTTTAGTCACGAGAATCTCCTGGGATCACAACCTGACAATAATAATTCACTCTTGCTGCTTTTGCATCTTGGCACTGAGAAGCGGCAGCGTGCACCCACCGTATGGGGTCATTATTAGTCAAGCAGAGAGTACTGGGACAAAAAGCAAACAAAATATGTTGTTCATTTAAAGAAACCTCCACAGCATTTGCATGGAAAGTTACTTTCAGGTCTTGTTCAAATATTTTTCATTTTAGAAATCAGTGGTGCACAGATAATAGGACGGCTTTGTCTAGTTAGTGAGGAAGATAAAGGCAATCAAAAAAGGAAAGTCGACTCCTGTGCAGTCATTTTTATATTCTCAGGGCTCAGTCACTCCCCTGGCAGCCTAAATTAATCTGCATGGACTGTGCATAAAAATGAACCCTAGAAACATGAGGAGTGTTCATATCAAGGCATACTGAAGCAGTTAGTTATACTTTTACAGATATGCTATTTTATTAGCACAGATTTGAGAGAACATAAATTCCTTAAAGGGGACCTATTATGCAAAACTCATTTTTTAAAGGTTTTTTTACTCAACTTTGGGCATGTACTTCTTAAAAAAACAGTCCTAGGACCAAAAAAATGCACCCAGGGGCATATTTACTGTAAGTAAATGTATTTTTAATTTATATTAACAACAGGTTTTATACTTCCATTATTTTGTGATGTCACAAGCCGTACGACAACCCATCGGAACCTGCGTTCAGCCCCTTACCTAGCAACCCCCGGGTGAGACTCCTCCTCCTCAGTATAAAAAGCCTTCACCGTGTTGTTGTGCAATGCGCAGCTCATTTCACAATAGGCCTCCAATAGGGCAATGGGTAGAGTGTTGGACCAGAGAGTGGGAGACCAGGTTCGAGACTGGCATGGATACAATTTAATTATTTATTTTCATTCGTTATGAACACGTTTTCTCATGTACCTCTATTGTTTAGCATATTAAAGCCTGTTAAAGCCTATTTGTTCGAGTTTCTGAGGTATTTTCACCGCTGCTGCTCCCTGCTCTGGTAACAGCATGCAGAGTGAGCTCAGAGCGGGGGGCTGGGACCACGACTCTGCCTCTGGGTCTGACTCAGGGTCTCATATGGTTGTACAACGGAGCTTCTGCTAAAGCCATGCTAACGTAAACGCTGGCTTTAGAGGGCGGAGTTAATGTTAACAGATTTTTGGAGGGCGTTACCAACAGAGCTCATTAACATTAACAGCTCTTCTGAATGGAAGTCAGAGCAGGCAGAACTAGAAAATGGGAAATTTTATTATCTGAGAATTATTTTGTGCATTAAATTGAATGAACATGGTCTGGATAGCCCACAGACATACCATAAAAATTTCTAGGACCCATAATTGGTCTCCTTTAAAGTAACACTGAAGTCTCCTTAAAGGTCATAGATAATTCTTCATTTAGTTTTATTTTAAAGTATATTCAAAGTAAGATATGTTATCCAGCTTTAATTCTGGCAACAAAATGCCAACTAGTGGCTCTGTGTATCTCTCAGTGCAGCCAACCACTGAACTGAAACTAACAGTGACAGAGGAGTTTGTTAGCAGGTGCAGCTGCTGGTTTTCTTTCATGCTTCACCTGCTCAGGTCTACAGCGGCCTCTGGCTTCAACACTTTCTTCAAACTTCCATCTAACAGACAGAAAGTTATGCTATTCTGGAGCTGAAAATTACTTTTCAAGCCATGCAGCTGTATGAGCTTTTGGGTTGTCACATAAATCTTTTTTTTTTTTTTTCATATTTCTCATTTTGCTCCAACTCTTCTTTTTAATTTTTTTTATTGCAGAGCTTCATCGGTGTGCTGTGTTCTGCCTGCTGCAGCTGGGAGGAGAAATCTTCGACACAGACATGGTGATAGTGGACCGAACACTCACAGACATTTGCTTCGACAACACCATTGTATTGTAAGTTATCAGTCACAACTTTTAATCATCTCAGCAGTGATTGTTCAAGTATTCAGACACTGTCAAAATGTGATGATGTATGAAACTTATTACAGTGAGATTTGGACGTAAACTAGACATTTTGCATCTCCTGTGAAAATGCAGTGTGAATGCTCAATGCAGAAAGATTCATGTGTCTGTTAATGTGAGTTAAATTTTGAACAGCTGACAAAACAAACATAGAGAGTAGCAGAAACAAGTTGAAATTAACAGACAGATGGTGAAAGGGGAGTAAAAAAAGTTCACAAGGAAAAGGAAGACAAAAAGTTTCAGTTTGTTGTAGAATAGCTAAAACAGCCAAAATTAGCAGAAAAATAGATAAGTAGCATGTTTACTGAATTAAGCAGTACGATGTTGCTTTCCTCACAAAAAGGCAAATTTAGCTCATATTGGCTGATAATAGCTACAAAGTAGCTAAAAGGGCAGAAAGCAGCTGAAATGAGTAGAAATCAGCTAAAAGAAGCATAAAAGCTGACATTAGCAGAAAGAAGCTTATAGGTGCATAAAAAAGTTTAAATTAACAGAAGAATAGCTAAAACGTTAACAAAAATATAGATAGAAAAGAAAATTCTGATATAAAAAAATTGAAAGGAGCTGAAATTAGCAGAAGAAAGTTGGAAAAAATCTGAACCAGAGCAAAAGGTAAAAATACAGTAAGATTTATAAACATTCTTAAGGGTTTTACGGACGATGAATATATTTCCAATCATTTTCAATTTTAAAAAAATGGCAGCAAATACTAAACTCCTGAAAAAATATCAGTGGCTGAAATGTCCAAAGTTAGATCACTCTTGGCATAAATGAGCTGAATGTTTTGATACGTAAATTGTTGAAATGGCACGAAAATTATGGAATGAGTTACTGTAGATGCTGAAAAATGTACAGGAAAATAAAGTTCAACTAAAAAGCATTCACACAATAAGAAATAAGATGTAGTCAGTGGGTCAAAGTAGTCTTTATAACTATAAGTACATATTTTTTAGTTTTGTTGGTGCATGTTAGCCTCACCCTTTAATCTATAATACTGCTAACTACATTACTTGATGTATGTACACACAGTATGCATGTATAATCAAAGTAAATAGACGTATCTGTCAATTACCATCTAAATGTTATATTCACGGAGTATAAATACTATGTCAGCAGTAGTAGCAGTACTTTCTGTTGGTGCTTTTAGCTTGTCTGATGTGTGTATTGTTGGGTGTCCATGTCCCTCTGCAGTAACAAGGCCGGCCCAGGTTTTGAGCTCCGGGTCGAGCTGTACAGCTGCTGCTCAGAAGATGACTACTCTGCAGGAAGCACGCCGAGGAAACTGGCCAGCAAGCTGAGCTCCTCACTGGGGCGATCAGCCGGGAAGAAGCTGAAAGCAGCCATGGAGCCCGGACCGTGTAGTCCTGTGAGCAACGGAGGGGCTTCTCCTCTCCTGCTGCCTGTCCCCTCTGTACCGTAAGTTCAGCTTAAAAAAAACATTTATATTAGCTTGTGTGAGGAGCTTTTTGTTATTTGTTTGTAAAAATGCACAATCAAGGTGATTGATTAAGAAGATTTTCTTGTGTGTTGACAGGGGCCCTAAGTACCACCTTTTGGCTCATACCAGCCTGTCACTGTCACATATCCAGGATGGCTTTCGCACACATGACCTCACTATTTCGGGCAATGGTGAGTGTCAGCCTGCATCAATCTGGGCCCTCCATGGCTTTTTGTGCCAGATCAACCGTCTGTTCTCTCTCTCTCTCTCTCTCTCTCTCTCTCTCTCTCTCTCTCTCTCTCTCTCTCTCTCTCTC